GCTCAAATTAAATATAAGCGACTTTTTAAATATCTTGCCTTTTGTTTGGATTGCAACGACAAGACACACCTATACAAAGCATACAAGTTTAAAGAAAGTCATATTTGTCTCCAGCTGAGTTGAAAGGAAAATAATTTAACCGTTTCTCCTTGAATCGTGACTGAATGAAAAGAGTGGATAATTTTCTATTTCGATAATTAGGAATAAAAACAGACACGCCATTAGTTTAAACCTTAATTTTTATTTCTATGTTTGAGGTCTGCGGAAGAAGATTATTTCACAAAGCAATGTTGACCAAATACAGGGTGTTTCCTAATTTTTGAAACAAAATGACCGCGTACAAATCAAGGACCAGAAATGATAGAGTAATGGAAATTACATTTATTGAAAGGTCAAATGATAAACATTTTAGGATCTGAAACCATTTAGTCTCAAACATGAACCAAAAATGTCAAGAGAAACTCTAGTGTAAATGCTCCAGATGTCCACCGTTCAGATAAAGGCACAGTTGAATGAAAAGTTGTTGATAACGTGTGCACATTCCTCTTGGGTGATCGCTTCAGTCTTCTCAGTGATGGCTGCCTTCAATGAAGCAATGGTGCGACGATTGCCATGGTAGATGTTGTCCTTGAGGAACCCCAGTTGGAAGAAATCTGGTGGGTTCAGGTTAGGCGAGTGAGGATCTTATTCCATTTCAGCTTTGCGCCTGAGGAGACGATCCTCAAATTTTTCACGGATTCATGCCATGATAACATTAGCAGTGTGAGCACCATCCTGCTGGAAACACTGTTTCTCCTCATCAAGGTCATCACGCTTCTCGAACTCTCCTCATGTGAGAGGCCGCTGTTTTGTTTCAACAATTGTGAAACTCCCTGTAGATATCTCAATACGAATTCAAATATTCAACGACTGCTTCTGTCTGAGGAATTATGTCAAACAACTTAGTGACTCGTAAAATACATATCAATATGACCACAAAATTTTACGGAAATCAATTATCAATACAGGTTTGAAATATCAACTCAAAGCATTAACTTGCAGAGGGGTCATTTTATTTACATAGAATATGAGCGTCGGCAGAGATATTTCTAGGCTACTGTGCTGAAAGACGTAATGCTTGTCCGCATCTCATAGATACTAAGTGATTGGTTAAATGTTCTCGGACTAACTTCGCAGAATTTGACCAAACAGGCAACTGATCCTTTTTCAGTTGAACGCAAAATTATCAGCAGCAGCATCACATTCCTCATATTGCTTGATAGGAAAAGTTTCAAAGATCATTGTTTCAAGGTTGTTCAACTTGTATGTACTCAACTTGAGCGTCATGTGTTGCGCTGCAAACATCGAAATGGTATTTCACTTCATGCTACACTCGGATCAATTGATCTGTAGATATTGACTTCAAAGCTTCAACAATTCAATGTCTTAAATCTTCAAGAGTAGCGGGCATAAAAGGAAGAAAAACTCTTTTTTTATATAGTTTCACAGATAAAAATCGCATCTGGTGACCTTGTAAGCCAAAGATGATGAAAAAGATAATCTTACCCAGAAATTATAAGAAATTAAATTTATAGAATATCATATGCAATCGGAGTCGTTTAGTCCGTGTTTTCCTCCAGTTAGTTTCTCTACGTTCCTGGGTTTTTGCCTGCTATCCCTGCAATACATACACACATGAATACTATAGGCATACTGATCCCATGAGAACAAAAAATAAATTATATACATAATCATATAATATTATATATTATTATATAAAGAGCAGATTTAGAAAATTTAATAAAAACAAATCTGTATGAGAAACCTATTTAACACATTAATGGATGGAAAAAGGTTCAGAGTTTATTATTTGAAGGTTGTGCAACTTGTATACACTCAATATGAGCACCATATGTTGCGCTACAAACATCGAAATGGTATTCCACTTCTTGTCACAATCGAATTAATTGATCTGTGGATATTGACTTCACAGCTTCAGCAATTCGACGTCTCAAATCTTCAACAGTAGCAGGCATAATCGGAAGAAATACTCTTTCTTTTGTAGACCACCACATATAAAAATCGCATGGGGTAAGATTTGGTGAGGAGTAATGTGGCGTAATGAACAGCGGCTCGGATTGAAGAATTGGAGAGCCGAGTTCGAATTCCAGTCGAATTCAATACATTCACTTACATGCTAATACCCTTGGGTAAAGGTATGAATCCTCCTCCCAGCTACGGGTAAATAGCAAGACAGATCGGGTTCTATAGCCTTAGATGGCAACTGGTCTACCGAAATGGTAAACTACTGAGGGAAAAAAATCTGCCTCGTTAGTCATGTATTGAAAGATACATGATCGCTTAAACGTGTATCACTGACTGAAGGTTTGGTGAACTGGGAAGCCACATACGATGAAGAAGATCCTCTTTTCCACAGATTATAACAATTTAAATTTATATAAAATCTGGAAAAAAAGCAATAAAAACAAGATTTAAAAACTTTTTCATTTATGTTAATTGCTTTGAACCTTTTCTTATCCAGTAATGTGTTGAATATGTTTCTGTCTCTTAGCATTTGTCTTAGCATTTGTCTTTATTGAATTTTTGAAATTTGCTCTTTCTTTTTATTGTGAAAAAGAGAAATTTGTACCAACCCTTGGTTCGCCCAAGATGTTACGACGTGGGTAGCTGATGTGTACATAATATGCACACATCAGCTAAAAACTCAGAGAGGGGAATGTCATATATCCAATATGGGAATGCTGAAAATCACAATTACTTTGAGGAAAAGGATCCAAACACACACACACAAAAAAAAACAAAAACAAAAAAAAAAACGCACACGCACACACACGCAAAACAAAAACAAAACAAAGCGTGACCGAAAATTATAGGTCCGAGTTCGAATTCCTGTAGAGTTAGTTACGTTTATTTACGCGTCGATACACTTGAGAAAGATATGAATCAATCTCTTCTCCTACCAGCTACGGATTAAATATCAGGCCTTGTCTCTGAAAAAATCATTTCTAAAAAAATGTTCAGTCGCCAAAAAAGAATTATTCTTACAAATCAAAAAATGGTTTGGGATAAAACGGTTGATAAACCGTAAAAAACAAATCAATCTTTGTTTAAGATCGAAATAATTTAATTCCTTTTGTCTAATATTCACATTCTTGAATTCAATAATTTTCAGGTTTTACTCCATATATAGATTGTCATATAAAATTCTGCTCCATTTCATCTTCCTAAGAGCACTCGTATATACATAAGAAAAATAATATAAAAAGTGCGTGTATATATATATATATATATATATATAGTAATATATATATAATATATATATATATAGTAATAATACAATATGGTAATCCGTATGGATTTTCCAGGAGGATATAGATCAAGGGAGAGCTGTATGCCAAACGACAGAGCAAAATTATTATTAATCAAAGAATATCAAACACTTAAAATCCGATAGGTAAGAATTTTTTCCCTCATAAAATAAAAATTATTACCTATGGGATTTCAAGTGTTTGATATTCTTTAATTAATAATAATAATAATAATATATGTGTGTGTGTGTGTCTGTCTGTGTGTCTGTCTGTGCGTGCGTGTGTGGCTATCTGCTTTCATTGACGTTTTAATAAGTGTCTACAGATGTTTGTGTGGGTATGGGTATGTATTTTTCAGAAAAAGCTCGTAATGTTGAAATCAGTAAAGAATGTGCAATCAGAAATCAAAACAAAATTGTATACTTGTAAAATCTGTTTTCTATATTTTCTAGACGCCTGCGATGGCAGCCGATTCGCCAACAAAGTCTACTACAACGCTCATCCAACCGACTGCACAAAATATGTGACGTGCGCTCAGCTCTCCAGTGGCAATTTCCTGGGAACAGTGATGACATGTAACTTCGGCCGATTTTGGAATGACGAAACTTTGACCTGTGACCATCCAAGAAATGTCAAATGCAAAACTGGTAGGGGTTCTTTACACAAACAAAATACCAATTCCCTATTTCTCTTTCACTCAAATATTTTTGAAGGATTTGTAACTTTCAAGAACGCAAAAACTCTAAGAATATAACGTTTTTTTAAATCATTTCACCCCCAAGAAAGGCGGTAATGCTACTAGAACAGACGGTGTTACAAGGCGTGTAATTGAAAGAGAACGATAAAACTGAGAATGGGGAGGATTGAGGAATAGACAAAAAAGGAGCAGGGTTCAAGAAGACAGAAGATGACGATTAACGTTGCATTTAAATAGTTGAAAATTGTAGTTATCACGAAAGCAAGAAATCGGCTGGGAGTTCAAAAGGCGGGAAGTGTGAGAAAATAGACTGTAGCTAGTTCAACAGTAAAACCGAGATCCACTTGCTAATCTAGTAACACGCTTAAATTAATGTAGTCGGGGCACTAGGGAAAAAAAGCTCTTCAGAGCAAATGCCATGAAAATATTTGTAGAAAAGACAGAGGGAAGCCATGTCACATCCTTGAGAAAGTCACTAGAGTCAAGATGCCAAGCCAGGACCGATAACATTACAGACCGTTCTTTGGATTTTGTCAAGAATCTCTGTACAATGCACGAACAAATGGTAGATTTATGAATGTACAAGATGAACACTGAAGAGAAAAAAACTTTCTGGAACGATTGCACTAATCGTGACTATAGCAATAAAGATGTCATCAACACCAGCGCAGTTCCATGAAATGCTTGCCAAGACCTTTCTTGAATAGACAACACCAGCCTATTCGCTTCCATTTATTTGTGTCAATTTATCCATTTTTCACCAGCAGTCACTAATCTTTCTAGAATTTGTGGGCTGCGTTTATGACGGCGCAAAAGAAACAAATGTCCTCCATTGTTTTACTTTAGTCGGCTTCTCTCATAGGCACCGGTATATCTCTTTCCTATTTAGCCATATTTCCACGTTGTTTCAGAGACGTTGAGTGATTGAAAGGCTTGAATTCAGTTTTGAAAGTAATTATTCACTCATATATTTTCTATCTATAAAGGCTTATTAGGTTGAAGCATCGGTTCTCGTACGATCACCGAAGTTAAACAACTTCGAACCTGGTCAGTACTGAAATGGGTAACCGCTTGGGAATCCTTGTTACTGCAAGGTTTGATGTGCGTGTAGTGTAATGGAATTGCAAATCGTGGTGGGAATCCACCTCTTCGCCTCCCAGTTATGGATTAATTAGTAGGACATATCAATAAATCATTATTATCTCCAAATATTCTTACAATCTAAAGATATTTCCTGACTAAGAAAGCAACTATCACGACGTCCAAATTTTTGTCTGACCTCATATCTTCTGCCCCCTGTATCTATCTATATAAGTTTCTTTCTTTCTTTCTCATTCTGTTCATATCTATCTATCTATCTAGAATTAATACAATAAAGTTTCTCACTTAGCTGATTGGTGTTACTTTCAGCATACTGACTCTAGAATTTCGTATACAGACGCTCCAGCAATCAGTCCATCCACTCATCAGGAGTCTGTATATTAATCTGTTTCTATCTATCTTTCTATATCTCTCTTTTATATCAGTTTGTTTCTATCTATCTTGGGAATATAATGTAGACTAATTGTAAACAAGTTATTTACGCAAACCACATCCTGTACGTTCATATCTTAATATAGTTTTGTATGCAAGATAAGTAAATATCTATATTTCTCGAAACCCTTTTTCAAAGATGCCTGCGCCAGAATGTCAGATTCCAGTGTGTATCCCACCGATCCGAATTCATGTTTGATGTGGGGGATTTGCAGCTTTGGAGCTACAACATCCATTCGGTCATGCCCCGATTTGAAGGCCATGGAACAGTACAACAGTATGATGGGTCAGTGTGTCAATTCCAAGGAGTGTACATCAATTGTCATACCACCAAGTAAGTATCCACGGCTATCTATCTATCTATCTATCTATCTATCTATCTATCTATCTATCTATCTATCTATCTATCTATCTTTAAGACTGTTGATATCTCTTAGTCTGTTGATTTTTCTGTCTCTCTCTGTCTGTCTGTCTCTCTTTCTCTCTCTCTCTCTATATATATATATATATATATATATATATATATATATATATATATATATATCCCATTTGTACAACTTCTTCCAAAGAAGTGCTATTCTGTGCAGCAAGCTCCTGGTTGGATGCTGTCTCAATCACTACAAACCTGACCTCTTCAAGACTAGGGTCAACCGTTATTTTTCTTACATATCTACACATAAGGTCCAGTTCTCCCCCCCCGCACCTATTATGCCCATACAACCTCATTCAGCAACACTCTATCATCAGTGGCTCATGAGTCTTGTATTGGGTGAAAATTGCTAATAAAACTTATTCAGGGGCAGATTTTCAATCCCGGGATCATCCTGATTACAAAGACCTGTAATATGTCTATATAGAGCATCTGTGGCCCGAGTTAGAGGGGTTTCAGGCACACAGACGGACAGACAGAATTTGCCGTTTACTTATTTATAGAAGATATATAATTCTCATATGATACGATCGAACTCATGAAATTGGAATAATATTTACGTTTCAAGAAAAGATTAAAAAAATATTGTTTCTTTTTCAGCGCGCTCTCCCTGCTTGCAGTATCCAGTATGCAACCCAGATCAGAAGGTAGACACAAATACATGCCAGTGTGTTCCACGTTGTCCTTACGCCCCTACATGCGCCGACACACAGAAACTAGATAGTAATACCTGTCAGTGCGTTTCACGTTGTCCTCAAGCCCCTGTTTGCACTGAAACGCAAAGACTGGACATTAACTCCTGTCAGTGTGTCTCTCGCTGTCCTTACACCCCAGTTTGTTCTGAAACTCAGAAGTTGGACATTAATACCTGTCAGTGTATTCCTCGTTGTCCTTACGCCCCCGCTTGCACCGAGACACAGAAACTAGATATTAATACCTGTCAGTGTGTTCCACGTTGCCCTTACGCCCCTAGTTGTTCTGAGAACCAGAAATTGGATATTAACAGCTGCCAATGTGTTCCACGTTGTCCGTATGCCCCTGCTTGTACTGACACTCAGAAATTGGACATTAACAGCTGCCAATGTATTCCACGTTGCCCTTACGCCCCTGCTTGTTCTGAGACACAGAAACTGGATATTAACAGCTGCCAATGTGTTCCACGTTGCCCTTACGCCCCAACTTGTTCTGAGACACAGAAACTGGACATTAACAGCTGCCAATGTGTTCCACGTTGCCCTTACGCCCCAACTTGTTCTGAGACACAGAAACTGGACATTAACAGCTGCCAATGTGTTCCACGTTGCCCTTACGCCCCAACTTGTTCTGAGACACAGAAACTGGACATTAACAGCTGCCAATGTGTTCAACGTTGCCCTTACGCCCCTGCTTGTTCTGAGACACAGAAACTGAACATTAACAGCTGCCAATGTGTTCCACGTTGCCCTTACGCTCCTGTTTGTTCTGAGACACAGAAACTGGACATTAACAGCTGCCAATGTGTTCCACGTTGCCCTTACGCCCCAACTTGTTCTGAGACACAGAAACTGGACATTAACAGCTGCCAATGTGTTCCACGTTGCCCTTACGCTCCTGTTTGTTCTGAGACACAGAAACTGGACATTAACAGCTGCCAATGTGTTCCACGTTGCCCTTACGCTCCTGTTTGTTCTGAAATTCAGAAACTGGACATTAACAGCTGCCAATGTGTTCCACGTTGCCCTTACGCTACTGCTTGTTCAGAGACTCAAAAATTGGACATTAACACCTGTCAGTGTGTTCCACGTTGCCCTTACGCTACTGCTTGTTCTGAGACTCAAAAATTGGACATTAACAACTGCCAATGTGTTCCACGTTGCCCCTACGCCCCAACTTGTTCTGATACTCAGAAACTGGACATTAACAGCTGCCAATGTGTTCCACGTTGCCCTTACGCCCCAACTTGTTCTGATACTCAGAAACTGGACATTAACAGCTGCCAATGTGTTCCACGTTGCCCTTACGCCCCTGCTTGTTCTGAGACACAGAAACTGGATATTAACACCTGCCAGTGTATTCCTCGATGTCCTTACGCCCCTGTTTGTTCTGATATTGAAAAACTGGACATTAATTCCTGCCGGTGTGTTCCACGTTGTCCTTACACCCCTGCTTGTACGGAAACTCAAAAACTGGACATTAATACCTGCCAATGTGTCACACTTTGTCCCTATGCACCTACCTGTAGCTCGTCCCAAAAACTTGACCTCTCTTCTTGCCAATGCATTGAGCGATGTCCCTATATAACTTGTCAGAATAGTGATATTCTCGATACTACCACTTGTAGTTGTGTTCCACGCTGTGCCAACCAACCTATCTGTCGTATCGATCAGCGTCTTGATTTAACCAGCTGTCAGTGTATTGACCAGTGCACTCAACCACCTGCCTGTGATCCTTACACTGAAAGACTTGACCTCCTTAATTGTAGATGTTATAACATTTACTGTCCTAACTCGCTACCCTGCCTTAATGGACAACGCTTAAACATCTCCAGTTGTGTATGTGAAAGAACTGCTTCCCTTTCAACAACTCCTTCAAAACCCACAGGATCAGGTAAGTTTTCTACTTTACCATTTTAAACGCTGTAGATTGTTGGTTAACAAAATATTCTCAATATTCGATAGTGTATAGTGGCCCGATCTTTACTGCCTCATTTACATGGTACGACATTCAAAGCTTATTAGCCATTATGATTTGTCTGCGCATCTCCCGATAGTGAGAGTGATTGTGGCTTGAACACAGAATCTTCAATCTTGACTTTTTCAAGGGTAGCTGGCTTTCTCCCTCGAGATCAGTACAATTCTTCTGACGTTATGCTTTTCAAGTTCACCTATTGCCAAGCAAAGCATGGCCTAATAGTAGTGGGCAGTGGGCTCACCATAGATCCTACCTGAATGTACCTTTGACTCTGTGTTCTTCACAGAAGATAGGTGCAGGGCTGACTTCACGAGTGGGGCCGACGGTATTGTCCCTGCTGCACCTGAAATGCATTCGTGGGAAATAACGGTATGGCAGATATAGACTTCGTAATTAAGCTACGAACTTATTGATATACCCACATGCCTAAATGCACAAACATACACACACACACACACACACACACACACACACACACACACACACACATATATATATATATATATATATATATATATATATATATATATATATATATCAACCTTTTCTTTTGAAACATGTTTCTTTGGATATGACAAACGAGAAAAATTTGATGATTTTTTTTATTAAGTTTTTCTAATATTCATTTTTCCGTTTGGTCGGGATAAGGGTGTGTAAAAATTGTTCGTAGAGTCTATTGTTCCAAGCGCTTTCGGCTATACTTTTACCCATTTTCAGGGTGTCTGTTGTTGAGTGTTGTTAACTTCTTTTAATGGTTGTTTTTTAAGATGTCGTTGTGTGATGCCTGCATAGTATTAGCGTTTATTCCGAGCACTGCGAAAGGAACGTGGCTGGTTTGCCTGGTCTAGTCTGGTGCAGTAGTATTCAGTATTTATATAAATTACCAATATACAATGTGTAAAGCAACAAACATGCTGATCAGACCTTAGTTACAGTTTCTGGACGGGAGCGCTTAATCTGGCGTGATCAACATTTTGAACAAAGAGCAGCACGCTCAAAACATCACTCACAATAACTTCACTCACAATTTCACTCGCAAGGCTTGGGTCAACCCCTGGAATGTTTGTCAGACATTTCCTAAACTGCTGCACGCTAGGATTATCTGGCTGATATCATCAAGTACACAGTTCCCTGACAAATCGATTATGTTCATCCTGTATAAGGCCCAAGAGCCTCTCGAGGTAGAGGGTTGCAGAGTAAGAGGCACAGTTTTTTTCTTTTTTTTTTTCACCTAGTGCACACTGATTAATCTGACTTGGTTAATCAACAAGAACAATCAGATATAATTTGAAGATTCCATTCTTACTACGCGAAAACTCATTTATCCAATCATTGTTTTTCTTTCCCCTTTCAGCTTGCCAACCATCAGTGAGTGTGGACTTTAAAAATCTTGGTGCATTAACTTCTCGCTTCCTTCACGTGATCGGAACTCACATTAAATACGAACCCACAGCCTTGGATAATTACGTGGGCGTTTTCGATGGGAAATGTCAGATTGCACTCACCCGTTTTACATTTGCAAATACTAGTCCTCCGTTTGCGATCTCTGTACGATATCGGCTCAACAATACCTACGGAATCCAGCGACCCTTGGCACTTGTGTCTAACGGTAACAACATGGTCGAGACAAGCATCGTGATCGCTGCAACCCCAAGCTACGTGGAGTTTGGCCTCAAGACCATCGAGATGGGATATAAATCTATGAAGATTCAAGTCTCGGTGAGAAAAAATACTTTCTTAGAAAGAGTGAAAATAAAGAACTAAAATATCCCTCTCACTTTCTCTCTCTGTCTCTCTGAGAGAAAGACAGAGAGAGAGAGCGAGAGAGAGAGAGAGAGAGAGGGAAAGAGAGAGAGAAAAGAGAGAAAGAGTCTGTGTGTGTATGTGTGTTTGTGTAATCTATCTGTTTCTTTATATATATATATATATATATATATATATATATATATATATATGGAAGTGTATGTGTGTATTTGAATGTGATCACCCTCACTAACCGTACAGTTTCGGTAAAATAACTCTTTTGGCAATTTTGTTTTTACCAATATCTAAGTTACAATCTATCTCAGTCTGTTCATATCTATCTATCTATCTATCTATCTATCTATCTATCTATCTATCTATCTATCTATCTATCTCATTCTATTCATATCTATCTATCTATCTATCTATCTATCTATCTATCTATCCAACGATGCACCAACCATAAAGCAATGGGTAGCAAGCAGCTTTATAGATCACCTCTACTATCACTCATAATGTTCCTGTTCCAACTAACGTTCCTGTATAACTATATATATTTATATTGTATCTATATCATCCTCACTTCTCTCTCTCCCGCGCGCTATCTATCTATCTATCTATCTATCTATCTATCTATCTATCTATCTATCTACATATAAATTCGAGAGAAGGACCTGCAGAAAAATAGAGCCTCAAATGTTGATAGATATATAAGTAATTAAATAAATTTATTGATTGTCTCATTCCAGGGTTCCGACTGGGAAAGTGCAGGTTTAATTTATACTGGACAGGAAATGATCGCTCAAGTGGGTGAAATCTACAAGAGAGTGCCTCTATCAGGTAAGATATATATATATATATATATATTATATGGTATATATATAAATATATATACTATACTTTTCTTTCTCGTAATTCAGACTCTTTCTAAGAGATGTGATGCAGTCAGTACAAACAAAATGGCTTCTCACCTACTCCCTTTTCTAAGCTGTTTCTCTTAAGGAAACAGTTTTAAATAAACTTCGTCGACTTTGTGTTTGTGTGTTTGTGTGTGTGTGTGTGTGTGTGCGCGCGCATGTTTTTGTTTCGGCTGATACAATCTTTGGACTTTCTTGGTTTACGGCCGTATCGCACTAAAACACCAGTTCCCGTACGTTGAACCTGGTCAAAACCTAGATGGGTGACCACTTGAGAATACCAGGTGCTGAAAGCTTGGATGTGCGAGTGGTGTAATGGCTCGGAATTGTTAATCAGAGAGCTGAGTTCTAATTCCATTTGGGTTCGTTATTTTCACTTACGCGTGAATGCCCTTGGGGAAGATATACATCCACATCTCTCCCCCAGCTAGGGGGTTAATTAATAAGTATTTGATAAATCATTATTATCTCCAAATCAATTTCTTACAATCTAAAAATATTTTCTGACTTTAAATAACCTGAAAATGGTTGATAATCCGTAAAAAAATGAATGAATCAATCAGTTGGCCTTCCTTGAATGTCTATTTATTCCTGTAGTATGTGGGTTTCCTAAAATAATTTTTTTTTTTCTAGACAATACATTATTTTTTTTTTCGTAAATTAAATAAAAAAAATAAAATTTTAATATTTCTCACTGGGGTAGATGTTCTAAATTTTTGCCATGTTTGATGGATGTCAGTTATCAATTTATCTCCTTTAATTTCCTTGAAATTCTCCATTGCCTTAACCGAACGTATTGAACTCACAAAATTTGGGTCCTGTCACTGCATCTAACCAACGCCTTTATAAATATGGCGACAAAGATGAGGGCAATAGTCTGAATTATGTAAATAACGTACATAATACCTCATCTCAGAAATATAGACAGACTCTAAAAAAATAACTCATCAAGAACGGAGCGATTCAGACGACCAAATCGTGGAATTATATTAATCACTCAGAATATCAGACAGTGATGAAGGCCTAAGAATGCATCTACCGAAACAAAGTGATAATTTCAAAATTTGAAAAATTCTATAAAAATTCTCTTTTTTTATATCTTTAAAAACACTATGGGTTTTCGAACAATCTGGTCATCATTAATTTTTAAAAAACTTTGAGAACTTCAACGGAGAATTGGACTATGTAAGTAAATCTTTCTCTTGGTATTTTTAAAGGAAGTTTCTTATCATCTTTTCACTGCCAAAAGTTTGGACGAATTTACGGGAGGTCATGTTCGGCTGTCCAAAGAATTTTAAAGAAAAACAAGAAACCATTTCCGTTTGTTTGTCTTTTAATTAATAACAGTAAATGTAACAGTTTTGCTCTTCTCGAAGAAGTAGAATTATGCTTTGTCATTTAGTATTAGGAAACTCTGCAAAAATATAGAATAAAAACAGAATATATATTATTGCATATGACGAAAAAAGCTTAATTTGTTTAGGCATTCAAGTTGTCAAGATTGAACAAAACTTGAAAAAATCATTCAAAAATTTTTTTTTTAATTTAATTCAAACACTTTTTTTTGGTAGGAAATATGCGACCATCATTATACAAATATCAAAACATTTTTATATTTAATATAAATTTAAATAAAACAAAGGATAAAAAATTGTTGGAAAATCAATTTATTCCGCTGACGAGGCAAAAGCACCATTTTTTTAAAATGCAAGGATTCTTTTTGTGTGTTGAAATCCTAACAGTATTTAATATTGTTGAAGTTATCGCTAACAATTTTTGTTGAGATTTACAAACTCTACGTCGTTTCAATTTCGCAAATCGATCGATGAAATTTGAATAAACTAATTTGTTTGGAAAAATACTTTGACAAAAACCTACTTCGCGGTTTAAGAATTTCCTTAATTTAATTTTATAGGACTTGATGGTAAACAATATCTTTAAGAACATTGTTTTTCTCTTTTAACAGCGAAGAATAAATTCTTAGGATTTCTTATTCTTGAGCATGCAACATAAAACAGGCCATACGTAAATATTTCTTTCTGGAGCCAAATTCCAAATTTGTGAAGAGTTTGGCCTTTTGATTTGTTTATAGTTCTCGCAAACGCAGTGTGATTTGAAAAAAAATTCTTGTATTATAAAAAAAAGAAAAAATAGATATGAAAAACAATATTGCATTTTTATTAAATAAGATATTTGTTATTTTAATTATTAAATTATTTTTAAAATTTCAAAATATTTTTTATGTTAAATAATAAAACTTTTAATTTTTTCTAAAAAATAAAAAATTAAAATTTATTGTACTAAACTAAACACAACTAATAAAACCAACATTGTTTGTTTCCCCTTATAATTTATCTTCCCCCAAATTTGGTTTCGATTCGTCAATGTATAGCTATTTTTGAGGTATGGCGAACGTACGGAGGAAAGTCACTGAATTTTATATATAGATTTGAAACTTTCTCTAAATCTATAAATACTTGTTTCGATCTGTTTCATGCCTTTTTTTTCCAGTTATTTTTCTTTTTTAATTTCTTGTTCAAAAAAAGGTCAATAATTTTTTTTTTCAGGAAAACTATTTCATTATTTTAGTAATATTTAGTGATTAGAATTTTTCATTCACATTACTGTTCTTTTGTCAATTATTTCCCCCATTTCCTGCTTGTTTTGCTTTTTCAATCTCCCCCATTTTCAAATCATATTTTAAACAAAAAATAAAATTTCCAACCATGAATTTATTTTAATGTTGATAAAAAAGCAAGAAATGAGTAAATTCAATTATTATGCTGTGTTCCACCAGAATATATCCGAAATAACTTTCTCCACAACTTCCTATCCCTTGTATTTCTTAATAAAATTTTAAAAATAAAAAAACCGTGTTCCGCCATCCATTTAATAAAATTCAAATAAATTTCAGGTTATAGAAAATAAAATTTTCTTCTGTTCCTATAAATAAAAGGCATTGAAATATCAGATTTTTCTTTATGTCTTTTCCTCTCCCAAAAATAACTATTACATTTTCCTTTTAATAAATATAAGTTTCCTTTTTTTTTTTGATTTTTTCTTTTCTTCATTGTTGCTCTCAATTTTCCATTTATCCTCAAAATTTTCTTTGTAGAACCATATTTCTGTTGTTTAAAATCTTTTCTTCATCTCTTAGGAATTTTCCAGCAAAAATACTGCCATATAATAAACAGATATCACGTAACAGTTTATTACCTTTTTCCTTGTTTTAGTTTCATTTTTCAATTTTAAACTTATTATTAATGCTTTATTTTTTTTTTGCATCTTTGGCAATCCCAACTCACCTTCACAGTTTATGTTTTCCTTTCTTCTCCTTTTCCTTCACCATTTTCTGTTTCATTTTTTTTATAAACAATCTTTCCGGATCTATATTAAACTGTGTTATATCTGCAAAATTTTACGTTGAACTTACTCAAAAAAATAACTTTTTAAATTGAATTCTTCTTTTATTTTCCTAAATTTTGCCGTTTCCAAACTACTTTTCAATTATCCAAAAAAAAAAACTTAATTCAATCCGAGTTCAAATAATTTCAAACTGAATTCAAAATTTTCGAAACGTTCAAAGTATGGAGCCTCGTTGACAGTTTAAATTTTACAATCATGATTTTAAATATTTCAGGCTCTGATCGGTGATGATACATTCATTCTTCCTAGTAATGGGTAATTAAAATTTGAATTAAAAAAGCATTCACATTGTAAATCAGTTCATAATGTCTGTTTGAAAGTCTCTGAGTTGCTACAAACAATGATTTGGCCCCCATTTATCGTTTTGCTTGAGTTTCCACTTATCATGTTTGATTGAAAACAATGATAGGGTCTTCATTTATCGTTTGAGTGATGGGAACAAAAATCATTGCTATCATTTAAAGCAATTTTCTTTTTATTACAGGTGAGGTTCTTCGAATGCAACCCAGACCCTTAGATCACTGGACAACCATCTCTTAAATACTTCCTAATATTATTAACATCAGTTAAATAATAAATTTATTTTATTTTAATGATGAAAACCGGATATTTATTACAAAAGAAATCTGCAACTTTTTCAAATTTCCTGACAAAATATTTACCCCAAAATGAACAAAAAAAATTGAAAAATATTAATAATAAAAATATTAATAATAAAAAATATCAGGAAAAATAATGAACCCAACTAAATTGCATTCAGAACATGGATCCGGCTTTTTTACAAACTTTTTTTGTATTTTTTAAAAGAAAGTGTGATTGCATTGAACACCAAAATTTATTTTTGCAAGGAGTTTCTCCGTTATCTTAAGAAGGCTAAAAAGAAGGCTAAAAAAGGCTAAAAAGGCTAAAAAGAAGGCTAAAAATCATGTGAAAAAAAAAAAAAAAAATTCCGCTCACTTTTTTTGTATATTTTTTACGCCTCTTTGTAAGTATTTTTATAATAAAAATATTTCTTCATTCATTCAAATTCTATAGTTGTTCACTCAATTACCAATAACGGAATTTGTGCCTCTCTCTTTCTTTAAACTCTGTTTTCTCTGTGAATTTGTGATCAAAATCCTCTTTGTAGGTGTACATTTTTCAGTATCTGTGTGAGTGCATGTGAGTGTACCTTTATGTGTGTGTGCATGTCTATAGGTGCCTGTGTGAATGTGTGTGTGTGTGTCTCTGTGTATTGAGATTATTGTCCTATGCCTATGTCTGTTTTAAGAAATTTTTTGTTTCTACCGTTTTATGTGCAAAAGAGTTCATTAATA